ACTCGATGTCGAGCCGCATTTGCTAAAGCCTATGACATGCTGGGCAAACCTTTTCATACAGATTGTCCCAAGAAATGCCTTTTGTTTGATTTTGAGTTCTTATTTCCAGCCTTTCTAGGCCTTATTAAGTTCTGTTAGGCTAGCTTGGAAGTATCTTAGATTCTCACTTATAAACACTTTTTAATAGTATCGGTTAGGGAAAAAACATGTGTAATCATTGATGTAATATCAAGACTGTGCTACTGTTAGTGAGTAATTGTCATGATTGTAAATAAAATCTTACGATAAAATATAATAACTTTTTATACACAATCCAACGCACTATTATGAATAACATAGGAAAACAGTTTTTACTGTCTCCGGAACCATCTTTGGTTAATACCGATAATGTATATGCAGCGCTACAAACACCTACAATTTTATACCGTAATCATATCGTGATGGCCGGAAGTATGAGATCCGTTAAAGTGCAAACGTAAGTTCGAGCTTCTTCAAAATGAATCAGAAGACTCAAAAAAGGCAGGAAATAAGGAGTTATGCATGACTCGCTGGGCACACTCTTTTAGGACTTCCGCACATAGAAGAACCGTGAATTCCCAAATATTTCAACGCTCTTTGACTGAATAGATAGCTATTATCAATGATTCATTAGCAATTTCTAGTTCAGTCTGTAGTGTTTCTTCTAAGAAAATGTATTGCTTTCAGCAGCAGAATAGGCTTTTATTAGCGGTTACGATATATCAACTTGAACGTCCGAAGTCAAAAGTCATTGACGAGCACTTTATTTCAACGTCGTATCTCTTGTTTGCTGCTTGTGTTTCTCCATAAAAGTTTGTATATGTTTTCGATGAAATATGGAGTCTCTAGCGATAGCTTCAATTGCTACGGTTGCCAAGGCTTCTTGTCGACGATGTATGAGGGCTTCGCGGTACTTCACTGAATGACACTATATTAATGATTTGAGAATTAGCTTACTTTTGCAGTATTCAGTATTTCTGGGCATTTGCAGATACCGTGGGACAGATAAAAGGAGCACAACTGACTTTCTTGGCACACATCTCATTGTTGGTAAAATCAGTTTGACTCCTGATATTAATGCAAAAGCTTTTTCTTGAAGATTGCAGCATCGAGTTAGAAGGAGTAGAGACAACAGTTGTTTATGATATCTGTTTGTCCCAATCTAACAATGACTGAGTAGGGCTGAATTAAGCTGTTAAAGCACTTTTTTAGCTTGCAGATGCGGTAATTAAAGTATCTTTCAATGTCCTTTTTTATGCTGAGTATTGTGTAATGGTCCTATACAGATGAAATAAAACGTTCAGAAAACAATAGATGGTCATCGTTTGTTTAAGGTAGTGCTTAAGAAGGATGACAATTTGAGATCACCACAATCAAAGTGATTTCTGAGCATTCTAGCTATTATATACTCCCAATGACGATCAAGCGCATACTTCTGGTACCCGGGACAACATCTCAGGGCAGCTTAATAGTGAACTTCCATTTTATTTTACTTTAAGTAATTTTCATCAATGTGCTCTTAATAATGCTTTCACAGTTGTATCACGTGAGTTTTGTTTTGAGGTAATACTACCCGGTAGACCTTATTTATTAACATTAGCGCTGCCACTTCTAAGACGTTTTTATCTCATTCTGTTTTATCTTCCTGTGTGAAAACTCGAAGTTTTTTTTACACTTTCAGGCTCTAAAGTTTTCCATTAGTTTGGTGATTCCAAAGTTTACTACAGATTAGCCAATTAACTAAAGATGAAGATTCGGAATGCGGCAGGAACCTAGCTAGGGCTCAAACACTCGGACTGCGCGAAATGCTGGTATCTAAGTTTTTTAGGCGACTTTGAAGTGGTACACGAAGCGGAGCGCATCTAGTGAACCATGCAACGAACAAGTATAACCATTTTTTCAGGGCTAGTGTTAAATGGTTAAACCACCAATGTTAAATACGGTTTGCATTTTCTTCAAATCCAACTTTTTTTCACAACAAACCGTGATCTCGCCTTTTTAGGTTTCTTCTGTGCTTTTCTCCCACTCGCTCTCTTTCTCTCGTTTTATAATGTTTTATTCCTTCATTTGTGTTAGTTGGCCTCATTTTCAGACCTCGGCGACAGGTCTCCGGAGGGCAAGCTGGATTTCGTTTTTGTGGGAAAAAGCAAAGGGGATA